ATGAATTCCAAGCACAATCACCAAAATTCAGGATTAAGTGGAAGGACCCCTACGTTCATCTATAGATTAACAGCAGTAAAAAGAAATACCAACAGAATATTCAGGGAACTTGACAAAGGATTCTAAAGTGCATGCAGAAGAGAGAACATTTGTGAAACAGCAACAAAACTTGGATCATTTCTTTGGTGTTGTCCTTGGAGTCTCCACTCTGGCTGGTTGAAATGGATTTCATTTTCAATTTGATCGCTTTGTAGTGTTTGATTTCTTTTTCATCAGGTTCATATATGACAAAGAAGTCCTTGGTAGCAGGAATGGTTTGCACTAGACTACTAACTGGAAGGTTGTAGGGTTGAATCCACTCAGCAGCACCATAGAGGAAAGACCTGGTGATCTGCTCCTGTACAAATTACAGCCAATGTCACTATGTATATATTCATGTATGCTGCAAGTATATCCATGAATGTAGTACAACATACAGGGGACAAAATTATGAAAATGTAATTAGTCACAACCAAACAACTTGAGAGAATGAGTTGCTGAGTATGCAAGCTCAGGACCATAGTCTTGGAGAAGACTAAGGTCAATTGGCATAATGTAGTCCACAAAGACAATGTTCTACATACCACGTTGGTGAGTAGAGCCTGGAGTCTTAAAAGCTTGTGAATGGCCATCTAAGGTACAACTATTGGTCTCCCTCCATCCGGAGCAAAGAAGAGTGAAGATGCAGGAAACAATTAGTCCAAAGGACTAATGGAGGACATGGACCCCAGCCTCCAGGACACTGTGACCAGAAGAACTAAGTGATGCCCAGCTACCATTACTGACCACTCTGGAATGGAATCTTATCCATGATTCCATCAGCACTCTAAGGGTCTTTTAATGAAACCCACAAAGATGTCTAGCATTTCCACCATGCTGTGGATCAGAGAGCAGAAGGATCTCAGCTAACCTCACAAAAATGTAAATAGAAGACTTTGCCTCTCCATCAATGATAAACTTCTTCACTCAACTGTCACAGTCTTCTCTATTTGGAAGTCAGATAGGTATCTCAGACTTTGTATGTCCAAACTAGACTTCACTCCCAGATCTAATCCTCTCCTGCTTTCAAAACTGGTTTCATTGACCCAATTTCCAGACATAAGCAAATTTTTTATTGTGTAAATA